GCAGGCAGCCATGCTGGAGCTTGGCTTGCTGCCTTGAGTGAGCCAGACAGGAGAGAGGAGTCAGCTGAAAGCCAGCGCATGCTGCTGCTTTCCACCTCCCCCATATTTGTGACTGCACCTCCCTTCCTCCCCCCAAGGCTGGAGACTCGGGGCCTTGCTGAAGCTGCAAGGTGTGGGCCAGGCATCGTGCTTCTGGTGGCCTGTCCTGTGTTCCCTCAGAAGGACTGACTGAAAATGGGCATGGGAAGGGCTGAAGGAGCTGAGTTCACTCTCCTGCCAGCGTGAGGGTGGGTAGAGGGTAGGGTTGCCAGGTGTCCAGGGAAGCTCCTTTACCCTAAGCCCACTCCTGATGTCACAGACAGAGACCCATCAAACTCCTGCTGCCGGTTACAGCTGCTGACACAGCCCCCACCCTCCCCACACCCCGCAGGTGCCCCAGCCTGGCTCAAGGTACAACGTGCCGCCTGTGAGCTGCTAGAAGAACCCAGCGTGCTGTACGGGGCATCTCCAGGCAGGCTGCCGGACGGGGGGGAGCGGGTGCGGAACGCCGGCTGGAGAGAGCAGCGCGGTGGCCTTGACCAGCTCGTTCAGCTCCCAGGGCTGTGCTGCAGAGGGGCGCCAGCCAGCTGCATACACTGCCAGTTACAGTGGGCCTTTCCTTCCCTTCCCATCAGAGCCCAGAGCTGTGCAGGGTCAGTGAGCAGTGGCAGTTAGAACTGAAGAAGCCCTTTGGGGCACCAGGCCCAGTGTGGGGAACTCCCCAGAGTCGTCTCAGCTGGGAAAGGCCAGTAGGGGGCGTGCACCTCCCCACTAGGCCAGGCTCCTCTCTGAGCCCACCTGGGCAGCAGCAGAATGGCACCACCCCAGCGCTGTTCGAGCACTGGCTACCAGGGACCTGGGAGGGGGCATTCGGAGACAGAGCTTCCCTGTGTGGGCAGGGATTTTGCCTTGGGACTCCCACTAACATTCACAGCAGTGCTCATGGCTCAGTCCCGCCTGCACCTGTGAAGGCCCAGACCACTGCCGGGCGGCCTGGGTGTCACCCGGAGCTGGCAGAGCCCAGCTTGGAGATAATGTGCCAGCTGCCCACACGTTTCTCAGACCCTAATGTGGCCCTTTGAGCAGGGGCAGCTCTATATTTTTTGCCGCCCCAAGCACAGCAGGCAGGTGGCTTTTGGCGGCTGGGCACGTCGATTCGGCAGCATCCGCTGGTGCCGCGCCATTGGTATCCCCGCCATCAAATTGCCGCCGAAGCCGTGGGACCAGCAGACCTCCCACAGGCATGTTTCCGAAAGCTCCCTGACTGCCGCCCTCACAGTGACTGGCAGGCCGCCACCTGCGGCTTGCCGCCCCAGGCATGTGCTTGCTGCGCTGGTGCCTGGAGCCGCCCCTGCCTTTGAGATGGGACCTGCCCCAATTCTCCCTGCGCTGCACTGGGGCAGGCGGCCCTGGGCGGTATCAAGCATGACAGAGGAACCTTTCTGCCTTTCCCCGCACCCTGCTCAGGAAGATTGTGCTAACGGTAAAGCAGATGTGTCCTCTGACCTCTGCTCAGACTCCTGTTGTCTCGGCCCCAACATGCCCCACTGATTGAGCGGGGCAGATTTCACAGCCCTCCTGTGCTGCTGTCACAGTCGATCCCACTCTCTCCACCTCCTGTGTGTGGGAAATTCCTCTGTGCTGGGCTACAGGTGACTCTGCGCCCTCCCCGCGCCAGTCCTAGGTCTGCTAACAAAATAGGAGAGCACCTTGGTGTAGCGTGTTCTGTGCCTGAGCTGGCTGCTGCCCGCCACCCCAGAAGCAGCTGCATTTCACTGAGTGTGAATCTGAGTACTTTGTGGGTAAAAGATCCACAATAATACTGAAAATAGTAGCAGGAAAAGTACCATGCTCTTTGTGCCAGGAGCTGGTTTTGCTCTGTGTTTGTACACATCCTAACACAGTGGGGCCTCTGGGAGCTGCCTGCTTCTGCTAGCCCCAGTGGACACGGCAGCTCTGCACGGGTGGGCCAGCTCCGAGGAGAAGGTTGTGCTGGTGACTGTTGCTCTTTCTTGTGCTGCAGAACCAGCCCCAAGAGCTAACAGGGCCCAGCAGTCAGTGCCTCCCAGGCTGGAGTGCTCGGAAATACCAGGCGGGGCCGGAGCGTAACAACAGCTGACGAGGGCAAATTTTCAGTTTGTTCCGGGAGCCAAATCCTCAGCTGGGGTAAATCAACAAAGCTCCATTGCCTTCAGCAGAGGTTGGCTGATTTACTCGAGATGAGGATCTGGCATCAAGGCCTGAACTAAGCAAAGCTCTTTCAGAGCTGGTCAGGAAGTTTCCTGTGTTGGGAGAGAAGAACTTGTCAGTCCTGCTGCTGGGAATGCAGGCCTTGCCTCAGCCCCCTCCGCCCCCGGCCCCGGGGCCAGCCAAAGTGCTGGTACTAGGTGGCTCCGTGACACAGCCCAGCCTTCCCAGGCTCTGAGCTCTGCAGAATTCCCCAAGGAGTCACGCAGTGAAACTGAAACCCACAGGCAGGTACATTCCTAATGCCAAAGTGCCCAGAGTGCTAGCCACACTTTCCTAGGCCGGGGTGCTCGAGAGAAATGCTACACTACCGGGCTGCTCGCAAAGCGCAAGGATTCTGAGACTGCCCCAGGACAAGAGAACCAGCCCCTGCCGAGTGCCTGAGTATGTGGACGTGGATTGCTACGGGTGATCACCTCTGTGGCAGCAGGTACTGCTGAGCCCCAGGAAGGAAGGAGTGGCTGGGGGGCAGTAGGAACTGGCACTAGGGTGATGCTGATAAAATGCTGGCGGAGCAGTTTGTTGCACTGATATGTTATTATTATCATAGAATATTAGGGTTGGAAGGGACCTCAGGAGGTCATCTAGTCCAACCCGCTGCTCAAAGCAGGACCAATCCCCAGACAGATTTTTGCCCCAAATGGCCCCCTCAAGGATTGAACTCACAACGCTGGGTTTAGCAGGCCAATGCTCAAACCACTGAGCTATCCCTCCCCCAAGCCTCTGTTCCAGAAGGTTCCTGCACAGTGTGGAAAGCCTGCTCCTCCCATGCCTGCCTGAGTGCCCGTTGGCTTGGGCTCCGAGCAGGGTGGTGCTGCCACTCTATCCTCAGCACCTCTCTCCAGGGGCATCCTCCCTGTGAGGCGAGCTGTCTCGGCGGGTCCCCAAGCTGGAGGAGATCTGTGACGTCACCAGCTCCCTGTCTGCTAAGAGCTCAGGGACTTCAGATTTAGTCCTGACATGAATGGGAAGCAAGTGGAGTTTGCGGTACCCTCAGTCTGATATGCCCACCCAACCCACATTGTGTATGAGCTGGGCACCAGGGGCAGGCTTTGTGTAGCAAGGTGCAGTGGTCCAGCCTGGAGGCTGATGGAAAGTCCTGTCACTACTGCCAGCACCCCTAGGTGTGGGAAGGGCCCAATCTGGCCAGACAAGGACAGGTACCAGGGTTTGAGGGGAAGGAGAGGGAGGGAGAGTCTGGTCCAACTCCCTTCTGGCAGCCAGAGGGCTCCATGTGTACCTGAGCAGGGCGAGGGGCTGTGACATCCCAGCACTGCCCCACCCCTGCCCATTTGGACACCCCATCTCAGCCTTTGCTACTGGGCTTTGGCTAGCAGGGTGAGCGCTCCAGCTGCTAGGTCTGTGTGTGTCTCATGCCGGGTGTGCAGGGAGGAAGTGAGCAGGGGAACCAGTGGGGGGCACAAGGAGGAGAGATGGGAGACACTGGGAAAGGAAAGGGGGCAAAGGAGGAGGCACAGGGTGAGAAAGAGAAGGGTGGGAAGAGGAGAGGTGGAAAAGGGACAAAGGCAATGCAGGGAAACCACTCCATGCGTGGTCCAATGTGCTGGACAGAAAGAGACTGACCATGTGTGCCTGGCCCTTGTATTCCTTGAAAAGGTGGGGGCTATGCAGGTATTTCCCCCGAGCTGTGGGGTGCATTGAGCAAGCTGTGGGGAACGTGTGCTGCTTGCCCTGTGTCCTGGCCCCCAGCTCTCTGTAAACCCGAGAAGCCTGTGAGCCTGTGTCAGCTGCCAGCGGCCCCAGTGGATTGCCAGGGCAGAGGACAGCAACAGTCCCACCCCGCAGCAGCCTGGAAGATCCCGCTTTCCTCTGACACTGGGAATCGGATGGTCTCCCATGATGTAGCTCAAAGCAGCTGCCCTGGGCCTATGAACCCACTGCTCAGGACACTTGCCAGGCCAGGAGTTGGCCCTGACAGTCCATAAGTGTAATCCCCCTTTGTGCAGTGTCACCAGAGCCCTCCCAGGAGTCAGAGGAGGGGGCAGTTACAGTGGGGTGACCATGGGGGCAGGAGACCCCAGTGAGGACCAGAGGCTTGGAGTCACTCTGCCTTGAAGATGACCTTTAAGCTGAGGGAGTGTGGTGGATTTGCTCTTTTTATCTGGATGTGTGACTGGCCCCAGTCTGTGCCATGATATCATGGTGATTGGGGCACCATAGAGACATACAGCAGCCTGCAAACCCTGGCTAGGCTCAGCTTTTGCACGGTGCCAGTGGGCATGGCTGGGTCAGGACTTCCCCTTCCTCTGGCTGATGTTGCCCAAGGGGAGGGGGAGCTGCTGTGCTCATATAGCCACACGAGCATGAACACCAGCGGGCTAGCACAATGTGGCAGATCCCAGATCCCACGACCACTGGGAGAGCGTTGTCCACTGGCCAAGGGGATGACTCATGCAATGGGCGGAGCTCCTTGCTCCATTATAGGTTAGGGGTCTTGGCCGCCAGGCCAGCTAGTGATAGGGGAACTGTTCTCAAGAGCTCATTGGAGGCCTTGGCTTGCTTTGCCTTCCAGCAGACTCTGTGCTTCACTGGCTGGAGCACGTCCTATCTGCTCTGCCAACGCAAAGCAGATCTGGCCTGTAGTATTTGTATCTATACCCCACAGCTGTGTGGAGCTTGACAGGGGCTTCTGGGAGATCCCTAGCTACTTTCTGCCCTACTCCTGATTATTGCCATCTCTGTGTTCATTGCAGCTGGCAGGACCACAACCAGCGAGGAGCTGGAAGACATGCTGGAGAGCGGGAATCCAGCCATCTTCTCCTCTGGGGTAAGTGCATGGTGATTTCTCCCTCTCAAGCCCATGCTTAAACCTCAGCCCTCAGTTTCGCTAAGAGGATGGTTCTGACAACAGCCCCTGTGTGCAGTGAACCCCAGCCCCAGCCTGACTTGAGGGTGTGCTGCAGCCGTCTGGACCCTAGTCACTGACCCAGGTTGCTGTCAGCCTGGTCGGATTGTGTCCACAGCAGCTTTCTTCACAGCATGAGCATGTTGCAAGGGAGCTGCTGAGTCTGCACCCACCGCACTGCCTAGCTCTCTGCGTGTTATCAGAGCATGCCGGGAAAATCCGGGCATCTCTTCCATAGTACTGCAGCAGGGACAAGGCGCCAGAGAACACGCTCACACAGCGGCCCCAGCAGGGGTGACCTACTCCAGACTGGGAGGAAGGGGCACTGGCTAAGCTCAGGCATGGTTGGCAGGTCCTCTCTGCCCTGTAGCACCAGCATTACAACCAGGGAGACAGCCCTGTGTTAGCCCAGGCTTCTAGCAGTGATGAAATGGCCACCAAGTATTAACCTGCCTGCAGCAGGTGTGCAGAGCATGTCATGCTCCATCTGCCCCTCCACGCTCAGACACCACTCCAAGCCTCGTCGCAGCATCTTCTCCCCAGGCTTGAACTCATGGACGCGTCCACGCAGGCCCTACGTGCTGCTCTGCTTGTTACGGCAGGCCAGTGCCGCCCCAGCTGGCCGTGCTTTCCTTAGTAATACGCTCCAGCACTGCCTGGCTTGTGCGCCCATCACAAACCAGCCCCCCCGGGTGCAGCGGAGGTGAGATGAGGAGGAAGTCTGATTTTTCCTCTTTGTCCCTCCCTGCTGCTGGGGTATTTCTCTGGGCAAAGGCAGCTAGCAAAGCCTACCCTCCTAGGCCCCCTGGAAAGCTCTCCGGACCTGCAAGCCGCTGGGGATCCTGGAAGCAATGACTGACCAACGGTCCCAGTAAATAGCATGAGCCAGCCCCTTGATCTGTGACAATGACCCTCTGCTGCCAGTCCCCTGGAAGTCACTTGATGCCTACCAAGAAGTCAGGGTTTAAGATACTGGCGCGGATTTTCTCTGCAGCTCCCACATGGAGCCCAGGTATGTGAGTGTCACTGACGAGAGCCCTGGATTTACTCTCCCCACGTGCAAGCTACTGATGCCAGCACTGACTGTTCTGCTCACTGGCATAGGATCAGCACCGGGAAACTGCTCCCTCCACAGTCTCTCCAGCCCTGCTGGGTCACTAGATAGCAACGTACAGTCCCATCATTGTTACTGCTGCCCCACTTCAGTCCCTCTAGTAGCCAGCATCCCCTGAGTGGCTAGAGCTGCAGCTCCTTAGAATCATAGAATCATAGAATATCAGGGTTGGAGGGGACCTCAGGAGGTCATCTAGTCCAACCCCCTGCTCAACGCAGGACCAACCCTCCTTGCTCTGCATTGTCTGGAAGCTGGGATTCAGGGGGTAGGAAATCAAAACAGCCTCTTACCAGGCCACAAGCAAAGTGAGGGAAAAGGCAAGTGTTGGGTCAGAAGGATGTAATTTCAGCGTTTGCCGTCTCACCCCCTGTTCAGACTAGAGACAGAGGCAATTCACCACCGGACGCTCCCCGGCCGGATCAGGCAGAGGCTTCATGAGACCATAGACCTTAAACTCTCACTGTTCAAAGGTCCAGCAATCCTTTTGAAGGCTAATCCTAGGCTGAGCCTGCGAAATCCATCTTAACTGCCAGTGCTGCCTAGGGTGAGAAAATGCAGCCAGCAGCCCAGACCTCATCCAGTAAAGCGATGGCGGTGAAGAGAGGCACCCTGGGGAGCAGAGCCCCTTGCACATGCAATGCCACCCAGGGTTAGGTTCCCTGCTCCAGACAGCTGGGATCAGGGACAATACCCTTCCCTGGCATAGGCATGAACCATGGGGCTGTGTCAAGTGTGTCTGCACTATAAGGGGACTGGATTGGCAGTGCCCTATGGCCTCCATTAGCCACAGATGAGATTGAAGCACGGGGAGTGGCAATATTCTTCCCTCTCTCTGTCCTGTCCTGGAGAGATCAGCACTCTCCTGGGCCTCTGTACCAAGCCAGACTGGAGCCAGGGCTGTAGAGGGGCACGAGCTATTGCCCTGAGACCCCCCACATCATTTCACACAGGCACTGAGCAGCGTTAGAAGGGGACAGCTTCCAGCCACTGCTAGTCTGGGCTCTCTTTGGCCTGGAGGGGAAAGACTCCAGCGCTGGATCCCAGAGCCAGGCAGGCCCCTGGCTAACCAGAGCCAGGGCGGCTGCGTAGAAGACCCCATTTCCCAGCTGAGCTGCACCCCTAGAGTGGGCAGGTCCCTGCCCTTCAGCAGGGCACTTCCCTGGGCGCCCCCTGCTCCATGTGGCATGCAGAAACGCCCAGACCTTTCACCCAGCCCACGAGGCAGGCAGGGATACAAGGGGATGTGCCCAGCCCAGGGGAGGCCTGCTGGCCCCAATGCTCTGCTAGATATTCTCAGACAAGTGCGTTCACACGGACAGGCTGGCAGGGTTCTCCGCCCCACATCCCATCCACTAGCACCCACTGGGAGGAGGCCCCAAGCCTTCAGCTCCCGCAGGGAAAGGACCGGGAGCAGGGGTAGAGGCAGAAGCCCAGCTCAGTGCAGAGGGGGGTCAGCGTCTCTCGTGGGAGCAGCTCGAGAGCCTTCGGGGGAGCACATCCAGCTTCGTGCTGTGGGACAGAGTCACCAAGTCCTGGCATCACACATGGTCCCGGCCGCAGAATGACACCTGCTTGTGTCTGGTTGTGGGAACCAACTCCAGCTCTGCCAGCACTGTCTGCCCATGTGCCCTAGGCTACATGTGATGTCTGGGCAGCCTGTGGGCACAGTCACTGCAGTAACACCTGTCACGGAGTCCCCGGGCGATGCTCTGGAACTGCTCCCCACAAAGCCAGTCAGGACTCTGGGGAGCCTCCTCTCCCTTGGAGCAGACTATCTTCAGGGCAAGGAGCTCACACGGCTTCACCTCCTGGGTCTCTACTGGGAGCATTCAGCATATGCCCCTCCGTGCGCTTCCCACAGTGAGTCCCACATCATTTATTAGATGACAGGAACACGGTCTAAAACAGAGTTTATAGGTACAGAGAAGGGGATCCCTCAGCCGGGTCCATTCTGGGGCCCCGCGAGGCAGACCCCCGTCTGCCCTCTCTTCCAGTCCCCAGCTAGCTCCAAACTGAAACCCCCTCCAGCCCCTCCTTCTCTGGGCTTTTTGTCTCTTTCCCGGGCCAGGAGGTCACCTGATCTCTTTGTTCACCTTTAGCTATTCCCTTGCAGGGGGGAAGGGCCCTGGCCATTTGTTGCCAGGGAGACAGTGTGTCAGTGATTTATGCACACTGGCCTTTATCCCACCTCCTAGAGACTTAAGAAATGCATAGGGGAAACTGAGGCACCCACACAGTATTCAGAGGAAACATTAAGAACATTCCCACTTCGTCACAACACCTGCATGGGTGTTACCCGACCCTAGAGTCTCTACACCTGCCATTGCACCTCGACAGGCCTTTAGAAAACGTGGCTAAAGAACCTGCCCGGACTAGTGCCTGGGAACGGTGCATGGTGCCCGTGCCCAGGGGGGTGCTCCCTGCTGGCTGAGCCACCCCCCAGGAATGGGCCCTGTCTCTCGTTCTCCTGGCAGATCATCATGGATTCCAACATCACCAAGCAGGCGCTGAACGAGATCGAGACGCGGCACAGCGAGATCATCAAGCTGGAGACCAGCATCCGGGAGCTGCACGACATGTTCATGGACATGGCCATGCTGGTGGAGAGCCAGGTCGGTGGGGGCAGGGGCCACGCCCGCTCCACGCTGCTTGGTGCTGCAGCTTTTGCTGGGCCCTAGGACCCCTACTAGGTGCAGCAGCAGAGACAGATCCTGTCTGCTCCAAGGGAGGGCACTGGGGCCATGTGCATGACTCTCCTCCCCTCTAGTGCCCTGCCCACTCGTGGGGAGATGCTGGGCCTGGGGTGGGGATGGAGGGCTTGCCATGCACCCTGGCAGGGAGTATGTGCCCCACGTCCAGCCCCGCTGCAAGCAGGCACCTGCCACTGACTTCAGCAGAGTCTCAGCTGCTGCCCCAGGGCTGGAATTGGTCCTTTCTCTTCTAGGTGGCCGTGTGGTCATTTTCTGGGGGCTGACACCCCCTCCCCCATTGTCCTAATGATCCGTGCGCTCCACCATGGCTTCAGAGCCTGCCATGTGCTAACAGGTCCCAGCAGGGCCCTGTGGCAGACGGGGCCCTGGGGGCTGCAAGGCAGGGCCCTGAGGGGAGAGGTGTAGAACGGGGGAACGGAAGGACCTTGGGGCACTAGGACTGTACGTAGGCAGGGAGGTGGTGACCTCGCAGAGAGGCCTGTCTGCTCCTGGAGTCCCTCTGCAGGAACCTTCTGTAAATGGGTTTCCGATCCATTTACTGGGCCCTGGGAGCCCAGAGGGAGGTGCCCACGGGGATAGGCCCCCGAGCATGCCCTCCTACAGGGGCTCACTCTGCGCTCTCTGGAGCAGCAGGCAAACAAGCCCAGCCAGCTTCCTCGGGCAGTGAACATGTAGCACTAGGCCTGGGCTTCCTGGCAGAGCCTGTGAACCTGGCCTGCTCTCGTAGGCCCTTTCCTGACCCCTCTTCTTGCCTGACATGCTGCCACCAACCCCTTGGATGAGCGTGTCTCAACCAGCAGGTAACGTGCATGCCCTGATGTGGGCCAGACATCTGCATGCTCTCATCTGCATGGCCTGTGCTTCCTGCATGTGTGTGTGATGCCTCCCCAGCCCAGGGACCAGCATTGAGGAGGGACAGGATCCTGGGAATGCTGGGCACCACTCACTCCAGCTCCCCTGGGACTGCAGCACATGGGTACCTCGAGGCGGTGGAGAGTGAGGCCGGTCCGTCTGCCTGGGCCTTTGCAGCCGGGCTGCAGAGGGGTGGGGCCGTGCACCTCAGCATGGGGGGCAGGTGCCATTGCAGCCAGGCAGCTCCCGGAGAAAGAAACTCCCCCCACCCCCAGCTCCAGAGCCGTGGAGCTGCAGGACACTGGCCCCTTGGCAGCCTGCTCAGCCCTCCTTAGCTGTGTGGAACGTCGCAGAATAGCAACCTGTGGCCGCGCAGGCGTCAAGCCGGTCCCCCAATGTGCTAGGAGCCTGTCTCTGCCTCTGGAGATGTTCCAGCGATTCCCTTCTCCACTCATCACCTGGCTGGCTCAGGGCTCTGACAGCGCGGGCGGGTTTTTGGGCTGGGCGAGTAGTTCCGTTTGTCTCCTGCTGGCCCCCAGGGAGCCCCTTGCAGAGTGTGGGGCTGTAGCCTGGGATGGCATGTGAGGGGACACTGCTCCATGCAGAGAGCTGGGCCTGGACAGCAGCAGCCTTGCGCCCCCGCTGGCATTGGCAGGCCTTGCAGGATCCAGGCTGACCCACCCCCTTGTTCCGGGGGAAGCATCACATGGTGCCGAGCTCTCACTGCATTGATTGGGTGTTGATCTGAGGGTAGAGCTGCCCCAAGCACCTGGGGCCAGTTCCAAGCCATGTCCCCTACCCAGCGGGACCCCGCGCAGCTGGCACTGCTTTGGGAGCGTTACGCACACACAGGAGAGCAGCCAGGACTGGCTGCCGCTAACCCCAGCACCACTGCCGCCCACAGCCATTGCTGCACAAGCCATGCCCTTATACCAAAGCAAGGCTGGGGGTGTCTCAATGGGAGGTTCCGGCCCCCTCCCTCCCCATTGTAGGACTGTCCTGGATCTCCCACAGGCTGGGGGCCTGGCCTGCTGGCCCCGTGACACCAGTCGTCTGCACAGCATGATGGTGCCAGCGCAGGAGGGTGCTGCATTGCCACACAAACCCATTGCTGAGGCCACCTGCAGCATGCTCCATACACTGTTCTGCCCTGGGGTAATGCCGACTGTTACTACCCCTGTTCCCAGCTGGGGAAACTGAGGCAAGGAGGCGCTGAGTGGCTTGCCCAAGGTGTCATGAGAGGAATGCAGGGCTCTTGGCTCCCTGATCCTGCTGGAACCACTAGCCATGCTGCCTGCCTTTGCTTGCTGATCGCCCTGCGGGTCACCGTGAGGGCAGCTGGGGCACAGGGCAGTGCTGGGATGAGGAGCAGGGAGCGTTCCCAGTTCTTGGGATATGGGACACGCCAGGCACTTGACTGAGACCAGTCCTGCCCCACGTCCCATTGTGGGATGCCCCCACCCCCTCGGTACCTGACCTCAGGCAGAGGGGTAGCTGTTAGCCCATCGGGATGGGGTGTTCCAGTGTGTGATGGGAGGGCTGAAGGGCTGGGATGTGGCCGGCATAGTGGGAAGGCAGGGAGGGGGTATCCAGTGCTGGGGGGGGGGGCTGAGGAGTTGGGATGGGGCTGGCGTAGTGGGGGGCAGGAGCGGGGTATCCAGTGCTGGGGGGGAAGGAGCTGGGATGGGGTGGGTGTGGGCAGGGAGGCGGGTATCCAGTGCTGGGGGGGTTGAGGAGCTGGGATGGGGTGGGTGTGGGCAGGGAGGTGGGTATCCAGTGCTGGGGGGGGTTGAGGAGCTGGGATGGGGCCAGCGTGGTGGGGGCAGGGAGGGGGGTATCCAGTGCTGGGGCGGGTTGAGGAGCTGGGGGGGTGGGGAGGGGGGTATCTGGAATGTGAAAGGTTCAGTGGAAGTGGCTCAAGAGTGTATTGAACCCACGCCCTGCGGACAGGCGCTGATCCTGCTGCTGTCATTCTCCCTGGTCCTTTCAGCCTGAGCCGTTAAATGGCTGCCAAGAGCCTTCACGTGGGTGTGGTGCAGGGACTTTTCTACTGGCCCCGACTTGGGGCTGCGTCAGGGCCAGGCCATCCTCCGGTTCCACTGGCAGGGCCCTGGCTCCCGGGCAGGCTGAGCAATAGCAAGGCCCCTCTGTGCCCTGAGGGAGTAGCTTGGGCAGGTGCTCCGTGGGGGGCGGGGGCAGGGAGCACTGTGGGCTGCCTGCTGGCTGGGACGCCCTGCTCCCGCCCCATGCACAGCAGGGACAGCAGAGGGGCCCTGTCCTGAGCGAGTCTCTGGCTCCTTCCTCCCTCATGCACGAGTCACTTCTAATAGGACCTGCACCAAAAGTAGGGTAGGAGCCACCCTCCCATCCAATTCGCTGAGGCTGGCACTGCAAGCCATATGCCAAGGCCCATGGGCAGGTGATGGGGCTCTGCGGATGTAGTGGGGCTCCCTCTCCTATATAAAACACCATAGACCCAAATGAATCCTAGACCAGCTGGTTCCGAGGCAAGGAACAGGAGACCAGACAGCCTGGACTAACACAGGACACCGCAGTACCGCCCCACTGCACAAACCCCGCCCTTCCCCCAGACCCACATTGCAGTCCCCCATCCTGCACCTCCTGCTGTAACTGCTGACCTCTGATGGAGGGCACAGGATTCCCAGCCGGGATCAGCCTGCCCCAGGCTGGTTCCCTGTTGTTACAGACAGGAATGGACCTCGGCCATGTCTCTCTTCTGCCCCGTCCCACAACCCCCCCAGACCTGGCCTTCACAGCCGGTAGAACCTCTCCCTGTCAGGGCAGGCCTTGCTCTGCTCTTGGCAACTTGGCAGCCTCATAGACTCTAAGGTCAGAAGGGACCATTATGATCATCTAGTCTGGCCTCCCGCATGATGCGGGCCACAAAAGCTGACCCTCCCACTCCTGGAAGAATTCTCTCCCTTGACTCAGCTGTTGATGTCCCCAAATCATGATTTAAAGACTTCAAATCGCTGAGACTCCTCCAGCAAGCGACTACTGCCCCACGCTGCGGAGGAAGGCAAAAAACCTCCAGGGCCTCTGCCAATCTACCCTGGAGGAAAATTCCTTCCCGACCCCAAATATGGCGATCAGCTGAACCCCGAGCATGTGGGCAAGATTCTCTAGCCAGACCTTCTGGAAAAGTTCTCTGTAGTAACTTTTAATATCCCATCATTGACCATTGTTACTAATTACCAGCAATGGCACATTATTGACCTATTGGCTAAAATCACTTTATCCCATCAAACCATCCCCTCCATAAACTTATCAGGCTTAATCTTAAAGCCAGAGAGGTCTTTCTCTGTATCCCTCGGAAGGCTGTTCCAAAACTTCACCCCTCTGATGGTTAGAAACCTTCGTCTAATTTCAAGCCTAAACTTCCCAACGGCCAGTTTATATCCATTAGTACTGAGCTGAAATAATTCCTCTCCCTCCCTGGTATTTATCCCTCTGATATATTTAAAGAGAGCAATCATATCCCCCCTCAACCTTCTTTTGGTTAAGGTAAACAAACCGAGCTCCTCGAGTCTCCTTTCATACGACAGGTTTTCCATTCCTCGGATCATCCTAGTGGCCCTTCTCTGTACCCGTTCCAGTTTGAGTTCATACTTTTTAAACATGGGAGACCAGAACTGCACACAGTACTCCAAATGAGGTCTCACCAGTGCCTTGTATAACGGAACCAGCACCTCCTTATCCCTAATAGAAATACCTCGCCTAATGCATCCCAAGACCGCATTAGCTTTTTTCACGGCCACGTCACATTGCCGACTCATAGTCATCCTGCAATCAACCAGGACTCCGAGGTCCTTCTCCTCTTCCGTTACTTCCAACCGATGCATCCCCAGCTTATAACTAAAATTCTTGTTATTTATCCCTAAATGCATCACCTTACACTTCTCACTATTAAATTTCATCCTATTTCTATTACTCCAATTTACAAGGTCATCCAAGTCTCCCTGCAGGATATCCCTATCCTCCTCCGAATTGGCAATACCTCCCAACTTTGTGTCATCCGCAAACTCATGGCTAAATGGTGCCCAGAGCTCCAATCCCAGGGCCCAGGCTGTGGGTTTGCATGGTCCCAGCTGATGGTGCAGAGCACCCCCAGCGGGGGGGTTGGCTCCTTGTGGCTGTGTGGGTGTGTGCACAGTAGTGCGGTGGCGGGGGGGGGGGGGGGGGGTTGTCCACGCATGGCTGTAGCTTTTGTGCCTGTCTCTCTGTGCGATGTCTGCTCTATGCAGGCTGGTGGCTGTGGCTGCTGGGGCCTCCTTTCTTGGTAGAGTTATGAGTCCTTGGTGACAAATGCCAAAAGTTTCTCTAGTAGCTTACCCTGACGTCCCAAAGTCCTACACCGACGGGCCAGTCCCGGATGGGGAAAGCAACCCCTCCAGCCCACCCGTCTGGGTTGAGGCGTATCTGCCTGCCCCGCTGAGCACAGCATGGCCACTTGTCTGCCAAGGGACTGCCTCAGAGCACAACAAACCACCTGGACAGCCCATCCTGTGGACTGGCCACCGTAGGGTTCTGCAGCTGCCTGGCCACTGTGGGGAGCTGGAGTGTCCAGTGGGGCAAGGAGCTGGGGGTCCAAGGAAGCCAGCAGCTGCAGTGCAAACATCTCCACGCAGCAGCTGGGTCTGGGGACTCCCAAACGGCCTGGGCACTGAAGTCCTTCTCCCCCCAGCCCGGTTCCAGGCCCCCGAGTGCAGGGCAGGGCGTGGCAGGAGACATGTCGAGAGACTCACACACACTCACTCTCTCTTTCCTGTGCAGGGGGAGCAGTGACCATGGTGCATTCACACTGTAGAGTGTAAAGTGCTGGGAAGGACCCTGGCGTGCGCTGCAGATGGTGCAGGATGAGAGCAGGCAAGTAAGGGGAGCAGGTGAGGGATGGGTGACTGGAATTCATGTCTGTCTGTGTGTCCTCGCTGTCTGTCTCTGCCTCTGTGTGGTCTCTGGCTTGGCTGTCTGTCTGTCTGTCTCCCGTGCTGCGCAGGGCGAGATGATTGACCGCATTGAGTACAACGTTGAGCACTCTGTGGACTACGTGGAGCGGGCTGTGTCTGACACCAAAAAGGCTGTTAAGTACCAGAGCAAAGCCAGGCGGGTGAGTAGCGTGTGCGGCAAAGGCCAGTCCTGGGCCTGCAGCCCCTCTCTGCTCTGCCCCAGGGGCTAGGGATGTGCCGCCCACTGCTGGATAGCACACACCAGGGCTCCTGCTGTGGGGAGCGACCCATCAGCCCCTTGTCCCTAGGGCCCTGCTCCCCATCATCTGGCACAGGGTGCTCCAGCTGCCATGTGGCTGGGCCTGCCTGAATGTGGGCTGGGGAGTGCAGCCCCCCCGTGCAGGCCGGGGGAGCGGATGGTGTGGGCTGGAGAGCAGACCCCAGCAGGGCGTCTCAGCGACAGTTACTGTTATCCCAAGACATGGGCAGTGCTGAGAGCGGAGAAGGGCTCCAGCTGGTGGCAGAGCGAGAAGGCGCTAGGGCCGGGCCTGCACACTAGGCTGGGCCCAGGAAATGAGCTCTGGAGAAGGCCTAGCTGTGCCATGCCAGCTCCTGGGGAGGGACAATTTCCTTCTCTTCAGAATGGGCCGGAGCAGACCTGGGTCTGGCCTGTCCGACCGGTCGGGGACTCAATGTGGAGAGGAGCGTGTGGGGCCCGGCCACAGAGCGCAGCATGGGTGGGGGACGTGGCAGTTCCCACCCAGGGCACAGCCAGCTGGGCGTGGAGATGGGGGGGATGTGGCAGCTCACAGGGAGCAGCTGGCCAGGCGTGGAGGGGCGGACGTGGCAGCTGGGCGGGGAGGCTCTCTTAGGCAGAAGCGGCTCCGTCCTGCTCCCCGCTCAGCTGCCAGGGAGAGCGGCCAAATGTGCGCAGGGTGGGGGGGAGGGAAGGTGCAGGGAGAGGACAGACCCTCCCCCCTGCAGGTACCGTGGGATGGAGAGGGGGTCAGAAGGCAGAGGAGACACGGGTGGTCATGTGCCCCCACCCTTTAGATTGTGCCCCCCCAATATGGAGAGGCACGAGTCGTCGATGCCGGCGGGGAGTCGGAACTCGCAGGCCCGCGCCGTCTGCGATTGCCAGAACAAATAGCGCAACTGGCTGCTGCCCTGCCCCAGTTACACCCCAGCCCTCCGGTACCACTGCCGCCAGGGCTGTGGGCTTTGCCCCAGACCAGCTGGGATTTGTCACACGGCATCAGAGCATCCGGTGGCTAGTCCAGGTGGCCACAGGCTGCTGCTCCAGAGCCTGGCTGGTTCTCTAGTGACATGTGGGGGGTGGTCTTTGGCGACTCACAAGCACCCCTCCTGCCCGGAAGCGTGAGCACAAGGAACACCCCGGAGATGCCCTGGCGAGGTGCTGTGGGGGCGTTTCTAGCCCCTGGGACAATGTGTCCATCCCTCTCGGGGCAGCTCGGTCCAGGCCTCATGGCACTGGGCTCTCAGTGACCACGCCTGGCCCTGAGCCCTCAGGCATGAGCAGCCATAGATGGAGGCCAGGTTCACAGCAGGGAATGACTCCCACGCTGGAGGGACGGGGGAGGGGGACAGAATGGGCTGGCTGCGGCTAGGCCTGTCCAAGCCTCAGGGCCACAGGGTAGGGTTACCATATTTTGAGCCTCCAAAAGGAGGACACTCCACCGGGCCCCGGCCCCGCCCCCCACCCCGCCCACGCCCCCTGCCCCAACTCCGCCCCTTCCCCAAAGTCCCCGCCCCAACTCCGCCCCCTCCCCTGCTTCCCGCGAACATTTGATTCGCGGAGAGCCTGAAGCAGGTAAGGGGGGTGTGGGGGGAGGAGGC